ATATATATTTCTTTGATATATTGAATTATAAAAATAATTTTTTTACAATATCTGAAATTCTTACTTCTCAATACTTGCAATTTTATGTGAAGTTTTAGAATGAAATTTTTATTTTGAGATTTCTTTAAGAGCACTTTTTAATGATAATATAACTTTATAATAGAGAATCTAAAGTACTTACAAAGTATTATTAAGAGTATATAGAATAAGAAATTGAGTGCTTATTCTTATTAATACTTTCTATTTAGGTTTACTCTTAGAGATTAAATCAACTAATCTTTTAAAAGAATAATTTTAAAAGACATAGTAGTTATTGATTTAGAATTATTAGAATTTATTATTTATTTGAATTTTTAGGAGTGAAATAGATTCAACAAACTCAATTATTAATTTTGCAATCATATAATAACTAAAAGTCTTTAAGTTTAAAACTTTAATTAATTATGCTTACTAATTATCAATCAGAAATGAGAAAAAAACTGATAATTTTCTCTCAGAGTTCAAAAATTAGAAGGGAATAATTGTTAGTCACAAATCATACTACATTTCAGATAATCTTATATTATAACAAATATCATAAAATGATATATGTTAAACATGTAATATAAAGGGTGAATAAAGGTATCTGCACACTTTTTCACTCAATATAAAACTTAAAATATTTTGTAATAATAATAAAAGATTAATTAATTTTTTATTTAAAGCTGATTAATATCTATATTTTGTATTAAGTAACTAGTGCTTAATTAGATCATCATTTGTCGTAATCATTACTTTAATTTGTTAAGACATATTATTGACTAAGTTTTCGATAGTATGCTTTAGAATTTCTTACCATGTCTTTTTAACATATCAATCAAGATCAGCAAGATTAGATAAAGGTTTTTTATAAGCTCAGATGCTTTTCTTGACTTTAGTTTAAAGATTCTTAATTGGATTAAGATCAGAACTTTGAATTGGCTAAGATAATATATGAAGATTATTTTTCGCTGAAAATTATACAATTAATTCTTTAGTTTTTACCATTTTTTTTTTAGATTTTTAGAGAAAAAAAATTTATTAAAATAACAAATTATTATTCTTTTATTTTTATAATATAAGTAAATACTTAAGTGTTATATAAATGCAATTTATTATTGCAATCATATAATTTTACTAGTACTAATTCATATTTATAGAGATATATGAATACTTTTATCTACCTTCTATATGTGTATTATTTGATCTTAATATATATATTATTTAATTTACCTTTTATTATTTCTTAAATCACAGACAAATTTACCTGCTTATTTACTATAAATTCTCTTTTGATTTACTTTTGTGAAAAATTAAAATTTTCTTTTTTAAATTAATTTTATAATTATATATAATATTATAGTAAATTTTATTTTTTAATTACAGTATATAATAAATAATTTAAGATTACTTATAAGCTAAAAATTTGTAATTTTTAAAAAATTTTATTATTGATCTTTTACTATCTTATTAATATTTACTTTTAGCAATATTAATTATAATAGAATATTATAAATTTATTATAAAGAATAACTTAATTATTATAGTATTTATAATTTACTAATAAATTTTATGATTTTTATTAATAATAAAATGATTCAATTAGTTTGCAAATATATGAATTTTAAGAAAATTTTTAAAAAATTATTATAATAAAATTTTTAAAACTTAATATTAAAAATTGAATTATTTAAAAAACTTTTTAATAAATTTAAAATTTCTTTTAATAAAGTTGATAAAATATATATTAAACTATATTTTTTATATAATAATTATTTTATTAACATTAATATTTTATTTATTATTAAAAAATTAATATTTATTTTTATGTTCGTAGACAAATTTGCCTGCTCTAAGTTTAAGGAATAGTTTTTTTAATTACTTATATTATATGAGATAGTTTCTAAAAAAATTAGGTTCTGAAAAACTTTTAACTAAAATTAAGTGTTTAATACATTTTTAATCTAATAACATCAAAACTAAAATGCAATAAAAATCTCAATTTTGCTAAAAAATTCACAGAAACTGATTTTTCTAGTAATCAATTTTATATAATATAGATTCATTATATGTATTATTTATAATTATCAATGCTTAGTATAGTATTAGTTAACAATTTCATATAAATAGATCTATAAGTTAACCGTGATAGAATTTAATCAAATAATTTTCTAAATAAGTCTTAGAACTAAATTTATAACTCTATAGATTAATAAAGTTACTATTTTATACTTTCAATCTTCTTCTTATCTTTATCATAGGATTTGATTTATTTGTTAATTGTTTATTTTTCTTAGAAAAAACCTTTGAGATAATTGTATTATTAAGTTTATTTAGTTTATTAGCTTAGTTTTGAGACAATTCCAGATATAATAATAGATATTAATTTAGATAATTATAAAATTAGTAATCATTCAAGATAAAAAAACTTTGTTAAAATGTTAAAAAGGTTAAATTTTTCTAATACTGAATGTATGACAAGTTCAAAATACAAATCTAAATAAGATTTGGTAAGATATAAGTGACTAAAAACTAAAATGCAATATAATAATATAATGAAACTTATTTAAATATTTAGATTTAAAACTTCATCTAATGATAATAAGTATATATAGTATATTTTATTTTTCTAATATTTATTAAAATATTAATTCTATTATTATTATACAAATAATATTAACAAATTCTTTATTAACTTTAAATCCTTTATTATTTTCAATTATCTTACAATAATGCAAGAAAGATTAACATTAGCAAAGTTACTTATTAATAGTAAATTATATATTATATATATATTTTTATCATTATTAAATTAAAAATTATTAATTATTTTTTTAGAAAAATTAGATAAAGTATAATAATTAATATTACAACAATTAGTTCTAATGATAAAAAAGATTTATTTTGGTAACTACTTCAAGAATTAAAATATTTAAGATTAATAAAATTATTTGCAAAGATTACAAGAATTATTTTTAAAATTAATAGCTGATAAAGTTTTATTAATTCTATAATTATTTTTAATAATTTTAATGCTAATAATTAATAAATATATTAATATATATTTTATTATTAATTAATATATATTATTATATAGTTTATTTTTAATATAAAAAGTATGATTTGTGGTTTATTTATGATATTATAAAAATATTAAAAATAAGATTGTCTACATCTATAGTTGAGAGATAAAACTCCTTAATAATAGTCAAAACTTAAACAAAACTATATTAAAATTATAATAAGAAATATGACAAAATCTTTCAATATAATTAAAGCTAAAATTATCAAAATTATATTAAAATATAGAAAAAGATATGACAAAATTATTTTGAAAAGGTTCAGCAGGCATCTATATCTATATTATATTAGTAAGTATAATAATTAATCTTATAATATTAACTTTAATAAAAATAATTTATTAATAATTTATTTATTTATAAGAAAAAGGTTTAAAAAATAAGAATTTATTAAATTAAAAAAATTTAATTAATTTGATTTTTTGAAAGAAAATCATTTAAATAGCATACTATAAGGAATTTTTTGTAATTAATTTTAATTTTTTTAATTATTTAACAAATATATAATCAAATTATATAATATATAATAAATGTATATATATTTCAAAATTAGCAGAACCAAATATGATGTTTAAAATATAGATAAAAAGATCAAGAGTCAAATATTTTTTATTTATTCTAATAATTTTATTAGAATGAATATCAAATATTCAATTACATATAAGGGCTAAGTTATTAAATTCATCTTACGAGATAAGAAATTGATTTTGAGTAAATGATAATTAAAAAATGCTATGTTATTGTAAACATTTCTAATCAATAATAAATTATTCTATTTTTAAATATTAAGTCAAATTAATTAATAAGACAATACTAAAATTTATTTAAAATTTTATTATTAAATTATTATTTTATAATTTTTAAAATTTTTTGCTATTATAAAAATTATTTTTACAGGACTAATTTTTGTAATATTTGAATACAATTTTGTAACACTTGAGATTTTGCTATTAAATCCCCTACAGGATATTATTACACTAATTATTAGAAAATTCAATTTTTAAAAAAAAATTATTTTTATATTTATTATTTTTTTTTTTAAAAATCAAATAATGGTTAAAGTTAAAAATAATTATGTCGATCATTTCCAAATTTTATGTTGATCATTTCTAAACTCTAATTTTCCTAATTGCTTGCTTTGTTAATAAGATACAGTAATCGACTATAAAAATTTAACCAAATAAAGTTCATATATCATATAATAATATGAATCAAAAACCTCAATTTTGGTTGTGGGGTCCCGTAAAGTGATTCTAATAGCTTAACCCATATGATTAAATAATAGTATAGTTACATTAATTGATATTTAAATTTTCGTCTAGAATTAGGAATTTTATGATTACAAAATATTTTCTTAGCTCTGCCAAAGTTATAATACCTGCTTAAGTCAATCAGGTTATTAACCGGTTATTCAAAAAAAAAAAGAGATTCAACATAATCTAGGTAAAAAAAAAAAAAAAAAAAAAAAAAAAAAAAGAACTTCTAAACTACTTTTTATTCGAATAATAAAGCAAGCTACTAAATTTGATTCATTGCGGAATTTTAAAAATCTGACTTTCGTAAATTAATTTTGCTCATATATTGCAATTTACATATAAAAAGGCGGGTCTCTGAGTTATTTTTTCAATTTTTATTATAAGAATATATATAGGGTGGTAGAACAATATTATGTACATTGCAAAAATATTGAATTGAAAATAACTAATAGGTGTATATAAAAATAAAAGGAAAAAAAATGTATTAACTACATTTTTATTTCAATGTACGACTGTACATGTACAAGAATCTCCAAACATGAATGCCCGGAATGGTATATTAGTCGATAACACGACAAAACTGGACAAAAGGAAGAAAACCAAAAGTCCAGAGATAAAAACCATGTGTGGAGGTATTTATTACCTATCACGCTTTTCTCTCCCTTGCAGTAGTGAAGAAATGCCAACAAACTGTTGGTTGACCATATAGAGGCCAGCACACTTAAATATTGACAGCGGCAGAAACAGCCGATTGGAGGCGTTAAACGAGCCAGGATTACAACAGCCCAAGGGATTCCCATCGACATTAAACCAGTCAAATTCACGTAACAATACTCAGGATTATCTGAATATTGAACCGGGATTTTGTGTATTCTTCTGTTCGCTAACTTTTATTCCGTTTATTCTTTCTGTTCTTATGATTTTTACCTCTTTTGCGCAATTTATGTTCTTTTTGATCTTCATGCACACAAATTGTGCATTCTTCATGTTCTTCTACATGTTTTTTAAATTTTTCATTAAGGATCCTTAACAACCAGGATTCCTCCAAATATTCTTCTGAATATTGTTGGAAGAGTCCAAGACAATGCCAAAGGCACATGTGGCCAAAAATCACAGTCGCGTCGTTCAAACACCCGGCCGATACCTGCAAAGATACCAACCCCCACGTAATATGCTGGGCCAATGATGACAGCCTTTCAAGAACAGATGCTTGTGCTGTGCATTCTTCTATAATATCATTCATTCTTTTCGAAAACTGTTCCCGAATCGGACTTTTAAAATGAATTCCTACAGGTCTGTAGGAATTATCATCAATGTTGTGTCTTCCAGAGAATCTCTCTTCGTCGAAGAATTGAAAGTATTTTGGACTCAACCAGTATATACATAATGACGTCTCGTCATTATGAATGTTGCATGTATAAAGCAACCCAGTAAATGGACAACCAAGGCACCCGAATAACCACCCGGAAACCTCTTATAGGGGATGCTCCGATTATAGCTATAGCTGTAAAACATCCGAAAACGAACGGTGGAATTGGTGATTGCAAGAAATTTAAAAAGATGAAATGAAGCTTAAATAATCATCTGGTAAATTATTATTTGGGTCGACCATTATGCAAAGTGTGGAGTCGATAAATTAATAATGACTTTAAATAAAAAATAATAATAAGAATATATTAATTAAAATAATTAGATGATCTCTGTAAATCTACGGAACACCACTCTGTGGATCGCACGTTGCACAGTTCGGAAAAAATGAGAAAAGGTGAATGATTCAATTTTTAATGATTTCTTTAAATAACAATTGATCTTATCAAGCTCCATCTTTTAAGAGATAATCAAATATTGTTGACAAACATTAGGAAGATAATCTTACACCTTACCTTACGAAACTCATTGATATCCTGTAGATACTTACTTATACCGGTACGCAATAACATTTCTTTTGATTAGAAAGTTTTAAAAGCCCGATATATGAACTCAAAGGTTGATGACACAATTTTACTGTCACCATTTTGCCGTCATCATTTGCCGTGTCACTATTTACATGAATGACAATTTCAAAAAAAGTATGAAGCCAACAAAATGTACGGCAATTAATATTTTTATTCGTCATTTCTAAGAAATCGGGTTCTGAGAATTTTTTGACTATTGAAAATCTGTTTAAAAAATTCACGGAACCTGATTTTACTAACAAACTTGCCAAATATATTTAAGTATAATTTACGCAGCAAATTTTCTGTTATTGAGAAATTAGCTATATTAGATATTTTTTTTTTAAAATGAAAATTTTTTATTTTTTTTTAAATAGAATTTTGTATCAAATAGCGTCGCCCGATGCCATTATATGTTGATTGTAGACGTCATTTTCATCACATATTAACTTGTGCCCCACATGTGAAAAATACGGCTAATTGATGAAATCGACGTGATTCTCTCTTAAAAAAACTTTTCGTGAAATCGCTTATGTAGTTATTAAAAATTCGAATTCGCTGAGGCCTTAATAAGAAGTGACGGTAGTTCCTTTAATTGCTCGCAGTAAATGTGGTAAAAGACGAAGTAGGCGTATATTTACATTTGGAATAATCACAAAATTTTTTTTTGCTTTTATGACAAATTTATAAGAATTCTGAATATTTTTACGAATCCAGAAGAATTTAATCCAGACTGATTTTTGAAAAGATCCGAAAAGGTTTTTGTAATAAATACTTATTCCACTTACATTTGGTTCTGCATTGCGTATGTGCCTATGTCGACAGAGCACCACGATCATCATAAAAACTGTATTTCATTGTGGTTTTATTAAACAAAGGTAATTAGTATATATGACATTATTTATCAATAAATAAGATTTTTCTTCGATTTAAATTTACCTAACAAAAGATCCTGAGGTTTTGAAAATTTCGATTTGATGAGAAAATGTAAGTTATGAATCTCAATTGATTTAATAAAGTGGCGACGGAACTTTTATTTCTGATTTAATTTTGACGATAAAATCATATATTTTTTTTGAGCGATCGCACAAATAATTGACAATTGTATGTATTACAAAAGTCTTGATGGTGGTACTTTTCATTGTTCAGAGGTTCAAGATTCTTGCTAAACATTTCTGAAATTCTTATAGCATAGTATATGAATAAAGTGTCTTTATTTTTTGCTTACGAATTATTAATTTTTGTTTTGCAGGCTTTTATTTTTTTTTTTTAAAAAAAAATTTTTTTTTTTTAAGCAATTCAAATTAGGCTACGATTATCACGAAACGGTGCGACAAACTATAATGATGTCGTATCGTACCAAATGGAAATAGCACTGAATCATGGAAGATAAATGAAAGTACCATGGTATGAATGAAGACTTTCTACATCTATTACAAGTTATCAGAGCTGATTTTACCCAACCAGAAAAATGTTATATGTATTTCCAACAAATACCAGGTATATGTTACACGCTGAATTATGTAAAGAAAGGGACATTTTCTTACAATAGTCATTTTCATCTAACTAAAAACAAATACATGATTCATCTTGTCTAGTAGGTTAAGCTTATATAAATTCTTTTAAGCCTCTCAAACTTTTTACGTAAAATGAAAATTGATATTGTTGTATAAAGTTCTTTCGTTTATGTATTTATAAACAATTTTAAATGTAAGCAGAAGGTTTTTATTGAGTAAAAATGAAGTAACGTTGACGCTAAATTTATTTAATATCAATGTTGCCTAACGTCGGTCAATGTCAATATTTAAATGCCAATCAATAAAACTCTAATTAATTAAAACTGCGCAATTACAAAAATTTTATAATAAAATTATACGAAAAATCTGAAATTAAAATAAACGAAATTACAAATATGAAATATTCAAAAACCGCGAAAGCGAAAATATCGCGAAGGGATAAAGGAAAATTTTTAAGGTGTATGCATGCAAATACAAGAAGGGACGAGCGTGGTATGTTGGGCTGTTTAATGATTTCCAGCTCGTATTTATATAAAAATAATTATTAGGACATCCTGGAATCCTGCCATTTTGCCATACTCCCAACTTAGCATCACCTAGCATCGTGACAACCTGTCAAAATGATCTATAAAGGACTAACTGAAAATATTGAAAACAATCTACATGTCTGGGCGGAATTATATTTAATGTAACGCTACGGTAAGATCATAATTTTTTTTATCACAAATTTTTTGTGATACAGTATTTTGCGAATGCCACAGAAAAATTTTTTTAAAAAGTCGTCCAACCGAAGCTTCTTTACTTAAATTTATTTTAAAGGAAAAAAAAATTCACACCACTGAATCCTCTTTTAATAAATTTTTATAAGAACTTAATAACGCCGTCCCTACATCTCTTAATTAAAAAAACTACTTCTATAGCATGCATGCGTCTCTTTTAATAAAATATTAAAATGATCAGTCTCCATAGCATTCTTCAATTGATGTAAAAAAAAAGGCTTTAAAAAGTTTTTTTTTTTTTTAAAAAAAAAAAAAAAAATACGTTACGAATCATGATTTCCTATGTCCGTAATTCGGTTTTAATAGCAAACATCCCAAATATGTAAAATAAAATAAATTTAAGAATCTTAAAATACTTTTTTTTATTTTGACAAAAGATCTTTTTTTTTAATGAAAATTTATGATGTCTATTGACACCAAAAAATTTCGATCATAAAAATTTACCAAATGTAAATAAATCCGTCAAATTATTTTGAACAATTTATTTTGTTAATAGAATTGTGAAGAGATTCTCTAAGAACACACACCATTCAATTTAGGGTTGCGATTGTCGGTGAAATGTAAAAAATAATATTTACGTAATAAATGTTCGATCAACATCATACGATAAAGGTAAGAACTTTAAAATATAAAACAAAAATAAAGAAATAATATTAGTTTATTTGTAAGTTGGACCTGAAACGGTATTCTAAAAAGTTTTTCTTTTTTTATTAAAAAAAAATTGCAAAATATAAGAGCAGGTTTCGGATGATAAGATTAGAAGATTAGGTCATGTTGGCAAGAAAAACCATTTGTAAATAAAGGGAATTGTAATAATATTTTAGAGTAAGAAAACTGAAACTGAAGGAGGAGTGTAATTTTATCATCTGGAGTGATGTATCACAGTTTGAGGGAATAGTTGTATTTATTTTTGTAAGATCTCAAAGAAAAGTATGATGCTATCTGTATGGTTATAACTTTTAAGTTAGTCGTAAGAGCAGTGATGTTTTTAGTCAATTTGGATTGAATCCCCTAATTCGTATTCATGATAATATTATAAATTCAATTTTTGTTATTTCAATTGCCTAAATGAGGTTAAAATATATGCATATGCTTCATTATATGAATATTTAATTTATATCTTTAATTTCTTACATAACAAATACAAATTTTTTAAATTTTGTTTCCGAAAGTATTTTTTCTAATTTAGATTAGACCATTTACGTGTGTGCCAGTTTTATTTTTTATTTTTTATTTTTATTTTTATTACTATTACTAATTTATTTTTTTGTCTTTTCTTTCTTTCGACTTCTTCAAGTATTAGATTATTTTTTGGGGTTGTTAGGTAGGTTTTTTTTCCTTCCTTTCCATTTTACATTAATTTTTTTGATTAATTATTTTTTTAATCTTTTTTTTTATTACGGTATCAAATACGGTATTGCGAATGGCGCTGAAACCGCATCGTAAATATAGTTATCATATTTATTATATTTAAAATTTATTTTATTTAAAAATATCTATATAATAAAGTCAGATTAGAATTTTTATATAAATAGTCCGGTAGTTTGACTTGATCGACAAAGTTTCGAAGTTTTGCGTTAAGAAGTCTTGAGAGAAGATATAAGGTACTATAATTAATAAAATTCTTATCTACACGATTCATTTGTGTAATTGATTTTATGAGATAGAATTCGAAAGTATTAATTGGATTGGTACACAAGATTTAAGTTTATTTTGTTGACTTAGTTTTGGTATAATTAGTTAACAACGGGTTTGGGTGCAAAGTAAATTTTTTACTCTGATTTTATCCTTTCATTAATTTTCTTTTTTTTTTTTTTTTTTTAGGTAATTTCTTTAGGGTTGGATGCTAGTTAAAATTTTTTGTATTAAATTATACTTTTATTGTATCGCTTCAGACTGATGATTTTTTTATTTTTTTTCGAATTTCGCCCTTTAGGTTCCTCTTCTGGGTTGGTTCTCTTCCAAAATTTATGGACTGCTCGTTGAATTCTCCTAATGAGGCGCAGTAAATACTTTACGCATTGTTCCAATTATTCAATATACTTACACGACAGTATATAGATTGAACTGTCACAAAATATATTAACAACGCCTCTCGTCCGTAATTATATACAACTTTTTTTATTATGACGGTATCTTCATTCATGACATAATGTTGAAACGGGTTCTTACGAAATCGGGGGGATTTTTAGTCATTTACATAATGATAATTAATAACGCGTAATTTTTGTTAATTCTCCATTGTATTATTATCATTTTCTTTTTTTAAAATTTTTTAGAATTGGCCTCAATAAAAATAAATTCCTTTTGAATTTCTTAAGGTGGACGATTAATTTTATTTTCCAAATAACCAATTTCAGAAAGCAGTAACTTGATTTGGTAAGACATAGCGGTTAGATCCTTTTTAGTTATCCGAGCAGACTAGATTATTTAAGGGAATTATTTACCTAGGGCTGAGAATAAGAGAGATTTTTATTGGTCATTATTGATGCAAGAAAAGCAAAAAAAAAAACTCATTGAAATAACCAATCTGAACAAATTAAATAAAAAAAAATTTTCAAAATGGTTTTAAAGAATAATTTGGAAAAATCCTTAAAAGACTTGGAAATGAGAGTTAAGGAGTTAGAGCAAAGTAACGAAGGGTTA